AAAAGAAACCGTGGTAGCTGTTGTGAAATTTAAATTCAAAGGACGAGTGCTCCAGTTCTGAAAAAAAGAAATCCAAGTTAGATACTGGGCTACTTCAGAAATCGATTTTGAGTTACGAAAAAAAGCAAAACTGAATTATTTTTTTGAGAGTGGGCCAGTTGCTACAATCAACAACGCTCCAAATAGGAAAGACAAAGCACTTACAGGTCAATTACACTAAGCGTGCTAGCAAAAAAGCGGTTAAATCCTCTTATATTTTATCAAGATGGCCCATGAGAAAAATTACCCAAAATTGATAATCGTCGGTGCTGTTGAATGTGCCTATAAAAGTAAAGAGATAAGAAACTCATATTTATTTTTTATAATTTTAATTTATAATTTTTTATAATTTTATGGATTTTCACTCCATTTTTATCTGCGGCATTTGCGTGAGTGAAACGGTAGCAGTGCCCATCATTTTCTACAAACTTTGTCAAATGGATGTCGCAAAACATATAAAAGTTGGTTGTGATGGTTTTTGACCTAATTCATTTCACACCAAGCGTGACACTTCAGACTGTTAATACTTTTTTTTTTGTTGACTTAGTAGCTCAGAGTTTTATGAAAGTAATGAAGAAGGAAATTTTTGATTTTTTATGTCTCATTTTGACAGTTTAAGTATTGCCCTTTATTACCGAGACGATAAGTGGTGTAAGAATACATGCTATCGATTACTGGCATGCTTGCACACATCAGGCGAAGCTAAGTCAGTTTGTCGGGTGTACATTTGGAACCTCATTCCAGAACGTCTACTGGGGGCCCAAATTGTCGAATTTGTGTGCCGGAAGTGTTGCATCACAAAAATGTTGAGGTAAAAGCAGAGCAAGAATGGAACGACTTTTCGAAATCGAATGATTGACCATGACTTGCGTTTCACAATACAGTGTTACATTGTAAATTTTGAGTGTGGATTCGTCTTCTTGACTGTAGCATGTCGTATCATTCGGCACTGTAACACTTTTTAAAACTGTTTCTGTTACTCTCCGGCTTAGATTTCAATTGCAGTAAAAATGGGCCATTGCACAAGCTCTAGAATTCTGCGGTGAAAATGCAATATAAAATCGGTAATTCGTTTAGAACTCATTGTCCTGTATGAGCACTGTACTGCTGTTTGTCTTGGGTGAACACTGTACTACTCGTGAAGGAATCTGGTGAGTAGTCTGCAAAATTTCAACCAATTTTTCCTCCTGCAATGTTTGCAAAATCCGTTTACTGTACAGCCCTCGGGGTTCACATATT